TAAGGGTGGTAACAAAATCTTCCTTGATTCAACAAGTGGTGGATGCTGAACACTTTTCCTCCCAGGCTCCAATGACTGTCGGAGTGGCCAATCTTTCTTGATGTAGTGGGAATCTCTTGCACGACTATCCCATTCGCAGAGAAAACAGAAGTGCTTTGTGTATCCAGTCTGCAGACCAAGCAAGAGAGCAACAACCTTCAAATCGCCACAAAGCTGCCACTGATGTTGGTCATAGTTTATGCACCTCAAAAGTTGTTTCATGTTGTCATAGGTTTCCTTCATATGGACTGCATGACCAACTGGAATTGATGGCAAAACATTGCCATTATGCAGTAAAACAGCTTTAAGACTCGTCTTCGATGAATCAATGAACAGTCTCCACTCATCTGGATCGTGAACGATGTTGAGGGCTGCCATCACATCATCGATGTTGTTGCAGGCTACAAGATCACCTTCCATGAAGAAGAATGGGACAAGATCCTTTTGACGGTCACGGAACATGGAAACTCTAACATCACCTGCCAGGAGATTCCACTGCTGTAGTCTGGAGCCCAACAGCTCTGCCTTACTCTTGGGTAGTTCCAAATCCCTGACAAGGTCATTCGGTTCACCTTGTGTTATGAGGTGTGGTTCAGAGGAGGAGGATGGGAGAAAATGTGGGTCCTGTGACATTGATGGTTCAGGACCAGAAGTTTCATCCTCTTCCTCTTCCTCGTCTGGCTCAAGTGAGAATGATTCTGGTGCATCAGGAACCGGCAGTCCTTCTCCGTGGGGTACTGGGCGTATAGCTGATGGAATGTTTGGATAATGCACAGTCCACTTTTTCTTCTTTGACACACCTTTCCCAACTGGAGGCACCATGCAGAAGTAACAATTGCTGGTATGATCTGTTGGCTCTCTCCAAATCATTGGCACTGCAAAAGGCATAGATTTCCTTTTCCTGTTCAACCACTGGTGAAGATTTGTTGCACAAGTGTTGCAGCATATGTGTGGGGCCCACCTCTTGTCCTGATCTCCAATTTTGCAGCCAAAATAAAGGTGATAGGCTTTCTTAACCATAGTGGTTATACTGCGCTTTTGTGATGCAAAAGTCACTTCACCACAAACATAGCAGAAGTTATCTGCACTGTTCACACAAGTACGAGGCATCTCGGCTCACTTTGGCTAAACAGAAATGTGTCCCTTTGCAAAATCAAACACTGACAAATAAGAGAGCACGACACTGTATGATTTCTAGAGCGGATATAGGGCAATTTGTTCAGCAGAGTGATGTAAGCTTCGTTATGATTGCATCATCCATGACTTCTAGGAATAACATGATGCAATTCATATCATGTATGATGCAATACCAGCTTCAGATTGCATCATTCATTGTTTTGCCTAAAAAGCAAGTACTGTCCAAACCCAGTCATAGATTTATTCATAGATCCAGTCAAAGATGTATTTTAGTCATTTCTGGTTTAAATTGAGATCCCTTCCCTTTATAACTCACTTATCCTCCGCCATTCCCAAGTCAAGGGTCGTATATACTGACCCAATAGCATATCTTGAAAACTAGAGCCAATCAACAATTTTAAGCATCATTTTTGTTCTCAGTGACCCAGAATTAGTAAAGTTTGACTACATTTATTTCAGAAGCATTTTGGCTGTAGAGCAGTGTGATCAGTCAGAGATATTACAGGAAAAGTAAAGAATATCTTGTGCTATCTTGTTATAAGAAAAACAGGGTTTCTCTAATATTGCTGTGCTCTTGGATTATCTCCACCTCAGAGGCATATTTGGTGAGACAGACCTGTAAGGATACCTAGCAACAAGTTGCCTGGTCTCACTACAGAGGAAATGTAGATTCCTTGGGAGTGAGGGAGAGATCGTGCCAGAACTTGTCAGTGTGAAATCTTATTAGTTTTAGATAGGCTTAGTCTGAGGCATCTAGTCCAAACCTGAACTCAAAAATTTTGTAGATTCACCCAAGACTGAGTATTTATTGTGCCAGTCATAAATTTCACACATGCACTCGGTGATGTATGAAGTAAAAAAGAACAAACGTGTGCGAGGAAAACCATCTGTTTTATTTAGCACTTTCATATGAGGAAAGTAGACATTTCTTTTGGTGTTACCCTACTGTGACAAAAAGCCCACAGTCCCATCTCCTTTCTATTTTTCCCATTTGGATAAGGGTATTGCTGTTATTGTGTGATTTACATTTGACTGCCAATTGGATGGGGGGAAATTACAGCTCCTGTCACCAGAACTAACATGCAGGTGTTCGTCTTTACTCGCACATCAGAAGAAAAATCTGATTTTACTTAAGCTACAAAGAGCTATGGTATTGGGATGTGGCTGACCAGAGACAAGTATGATCAGAAGAAATCCCTTCTATGCTATAACTTCAGGGTGCTTATGAGGACTCAGGTCATCTTACCATCACAAGTTAACTGAAATAAATCAACCCATATAACCCTCCATAAAAGTCCATATTAAGACAAGAGGAAGCTTAACTGCTTAAAACCCCAGTCTTTTGCTATCTGAGAACCCAGAAATTGAGAGGAGTGGCAATGAGACTTTTGCTCCCTTTTCTCTTCCACATTTGAAAACCCCTTAGTCAGTTGATCTGTCTAATTAGTGATCCTTCTAATGCACCTGTCAGCAAGGTACAAGCACAACCATGACATTTTAACATGAATATTTTTGTGGCTAAACTATGTGTAAAGTTTAAAATTTCAAATAGTTCTGGGACAAATTCTCCCCATTCAACCCATGGAATTCCACTAATTTCAATTGTGTTGGAAGGATATAGAAAAATATGCCATGAATAAACCCAACTCTAACCCAAATATGGTTTTAAACACAAAAATTACTACAATTATTTTTTAACGTCACGTATTGAATTTTCAAGTTAGACAACAGGTGACAGAAAACACTGTGGTTGATTAGAGGTCATAAAAATTGTACAGAAAAGCATGAAAATATACAGACTAAACAAAAACAGACACAATATAGGGTTAATTAAACTAGATCAACCCACTTCAGGCAACTCCCTTGTTTGGTAGTTAGACCATTTAAATTTAACTATGTTAAGAAAAGTAATCAAAGAGGAAGGATCTGCTGGTTAGGGTAATTGCCAAAGACTCGAGAGACCTGGGTTTGGTTCCCAGATTTATCAAAGATTTCTGGTGTGGCCTTGCGCAAGTCATTTAGTTTCTCTGTGCCTCAATTCCCTTTCTGAAAGATGGGGATAGTAATGCTGCATGTGTTATGCAGAGGTCAGAGTAGATGATCATAATGCTACCTTCTAGATTTAAAGTCTATGAGAAAGCTGGTCAGACTTCTGCAATTTTTTTCTGATTCCAATCATTCTTGTCATCTGTTCTTCCAGTGCCTACTTATGTCATGCCACTGTGGCCCTGATCCATCAGGACACTTAAGCACAGTGCCATTAGCTTATGCTCACATGCTTTAAGTTACACATCCATATAAAGATTTGCTGGATCAGAGCCTACAATGGATGTTTTTCTGTAAAAGCCACGGACAGACTGAGTGGGGAGAGAGACTTCTGCACGTGCTGCACTTCAACAGTTTTGTGTCAGGAAGTGACTTGGCAATTCCCTCTTAAAAACAGAGGGCCAGTTTCACTCCTGGTGTAACTCCACTGACACGAATGAAATTCAGCTGTGATGAATTTGCTCCTAAGGGTTTTGTGCAATTGTGATCATGGGATACAGTTATTTCTTGGCATGTGTTAATTTCTTTTCATGTGAATTGCATATTAGAACTCATCTCTGGTTTCTTGTAGATTCTGCCTCTTAACTGCCTTGTTCTGTGTCTCAAATTGCTTAGCATGACTCAAAAACACTGTGGCTAGAAACCCCGAAAGGACAAATAACAATAACTGATGTTATCTGTTTGATACAGTCCCTTATTAGTATCAAATCTTTTTAGTGCATTTGAATTATTGTATGTTAAGAGTATTCCAAGGCTGCTAACTCTAAAAAAAAAAAGGGGGGGGGAATTTAAGGCTATACAGAGCTCATACTCTCAGCCCCCTCCCTCCTGTCTTTGTAGCCCCTCATAATTCCTTGTCTGATTTTAGCTTGTAAAGTCTCTGGGGCAACAGTCTATTTTGGCAGAAGTCTAGAAAGTTTTGGGGCACTATGAGAAATAACTAATAATTAAAACATTCATCAATAGTTGCCACCAGCTGCATATAGCGGGTCCTACAGGCCTCTCTACACTACTATCACTCCCCACCGCTGTCAGTTGCATTAGCCTTGGCCTCATTCTGGGCCCCTGTTATGTCCACCATAGAGGCTCTTCCATTGTTGTATGCAGTGTTGTTGTAGCCGTGTGAGTCCCAGGATATAAGAGAGACAAGGTTAGTGAGGTAATATCTTTTATTAGACCAACTTCTGTTGGTGAGAGAGAGAAGCTTTCAAACTTACACAGAGCTTTTCTTCAGGTCTGAGAAATATACGGAGTGTTTTCCAGACCTGAAGAAGAGCTCTGTGTGGCTCGAAAACTTGCTCTCACCAACAGAAGTTGGTCCAATAAAAGTTGGTCCTCACCCACCTTGTCTCATCACAGAGTTAACTTTTGATCTGTCATTTCCCTTTCTCTTCTTTGGCTGCAGTGCATTCACACCTTTGACCCCACACTGTTGTTGGACAAACACAGGAATATAAAGTGGAAATGGTAAAGGGCAGCCAGAATTTGGGAGTGAAATCCTGGCCCCACTGAAGTTAATGGCAGTTTTGCCATGACTTCAATAGGGCTAGGATTTCACACTTAATATTTTCCAGAGGGATGTAATGACAGTTCAATTCAAAACTAATTTGAAATGTGAGCGTAAATAATGCTATTGTTTTACATTTAATTAACAGAGAAAATGTATTTTAACTATTGTTTTGACATATCTCTTCTTTATATTTGCCCTTTAGATTTTAACTGAACTCTTACGATACAATCCAGAAGGCTTTTAAGAATCAACAACTTCCTTTTCCATAATGGATCAAAATACATCCCAACTAGATAATGAAACAATGGCCATGCTTCAGAACAGAGCTATTACAAGCACCCTCCCAGTTGTGTACTCCTTGGTGGCCCTCATCAGCATCCCTGGGAATGTGTTCTCCCTTTGGGTGCTCTGCTGCCACATCAAACCCAAGACACCCTCAGTTATCTTCATGATTAACCTTAGCATCACAGACCTCACACTGGCTTGCTGCTTTCCCTTCCAGATTATCTATCACATCAAGAACAACAACTGGATCTTTGGTAAGAGCCTTTGCAGCTTAGTCACAGTGATGTTCTACTCAAACATGTATTCTTCCATTCTCACCATGACCTGCATCAGCATAGAGCGGTTCTTGGGAGTGGTGTATCCCATGAAGTTAATCAAGTGGAGAAGAAAGAGATATGCACTTGCTGCCTGCTTGGGGATGTGGGCCGTTTTGCTATTGGCCCTATACCCACTGGCGAGCACAGATCTGACCTATGAAGTAAAACCACTAGGGATCATAACTTGTTTCGATGTGCTCAAATGGGACATGCTGCCCAATTTTATAGCATGGGTAACCTTTCTTCTGACACTGTTTGTTCTTCTCTTCCTGATCCCATTCATAGTGACGGTAGCCTGCTACATTGGCACTATTCGGAAGCTCATTCAGACCTCTGGCAAATACGGTAGCAGGCAGAAGACTAGGTCTATATACTTGGCTGGAATTGTCCTCTTGGTATTCATCACTTGCTTCGCCCCTAATAACTTTATTCTACTTGTGCACATGATCAGCCGTCTCTTTTTCCAAAAGAGCTTCTACCCTGCTTACAAGCTCACCCTATGCCTCAGTTGCCTGAACATCTGTATAGATCCATTCATTTACTATTTTGCATCCAAAGAATTTTATCAGAAATTCATGCAAGTAATAGGTCATAAGGTACTGCTCACTGACAGTCTGGAGACCAGAAGGGAAAGCTTATTCTCTGGCAGGACAATGTCGGCCAGGTCAATGTCAAGTGGGCCTATGGAAGGGTTAGATGGAGTTAAGGTATGTTTGCAAAGGCAGGAAAGTGTTTTTTAACTACAGATTTAAAATCCGATGTGGGAAGGCAGTAGAAAGTTCTCAGTGGAGAAAGAAAGGGATTTTTTTTAAACGATATTCTGATAAACATCAATGCCCATAGCAACAACAGTCCGACCACACTGAACAGCAAGTATCTCACACATGTCAAAAATCAATAACCACTTGCTGGGAAGAAATAGAGAAGGAGTAAGATGAACCAAAATTATCAAAGGAAGAAAGTGATCCAGTCCAAGTCCAGTGATCCAAGACAAAACTGACAAACAAGGATACAGACAGCATTAATTCCACTGAACACTTCTGAATATGATTGGAAAGCAAGGACAAACCAAAAGTACTTTCAGAATCTGAGATCTCAGTGCTTAACCAAATAGTCATGGATCTCACTTTTTATACTAAAGGAAAATAATGTTAAAGTGGGTTTGGGGGCAGGGAGTTGCCTTTGTAAATAATATGTTAATTGCTTATCGAAGTATGAATTTCTCTTTTGTGTTGTTGCAGAAAAAGAATGAATATATCTTGCCATTTTATCATGAATACATTATGTGTAGCCACTATGAACTCATCACAACACTTATGTATCACTCGCTTGATTTAAACACAGCCTAACCTAACCACATTAACCTTCAAAGAGGTTAGCTTGGTTAATAGTTATTTATTTCAATTTCGTCTATCGAAATCTCGTAAAATGAAGTAAAAAAGAAAGACCAACGTCAGTACCCTAAACCACATCAATGCCCCAGCTGCTGAGTGGGTTACATCACTGTTAGAACTAGACACTTCTAAGGAGGGAGGTGAAGTGCAGATGGCTTACATGGCAATTTTCTCACAATGACCCACTACACTAATATTGCTGAGCTGGCATTCACTTATTTTAGTTTATTTGTTTGTTTTACAATGGGCCAAACTCTATGGTCTTGTACTGAATACAGTTCCCGTTGCAGTCAGTTCGAGTATTGCTTTATGTAGTTGATGGACAGTATTTTTGCTTTCCTCTAGGAGCTAGTTCAGATAATGGTCCAGATTCTCATCTGGTGTAAAGGGGAGTAATCCCATTTATCTCAATTGCATTACGCCAATATAAACAAGCTGAAGATTTGTCTCCTGAATCTTGGCATTACCTCATTTGCTTTTGATACTTTACATGTCTGGACTACAGGTTTTACAGACAGAAAGAAAAGCACTGGGCAGTTGAAATTTACCAACCTTCCTGCAGCTAGCTCATGTATTATTAGTGCAGTGGCATGTTCAGACCCTCAGTATCCTGTCCCAAGGTATTGCATCATACCGTGCTTCTCCTCATATCTCAGAAATTGAATGGTTGCTTAGAAATACAATAAAACAGCATCTATGTTTTACTTTTTAATCTCAAAAGACTTTTTTTCTATTTTTTTATTTGAAATTGTGCATAATTTCAACAGTTATTAAAATGAGGAGCTAATGACACTTGTTAGAGCCAAGCAAGCTTCCCCTCACCACTGGGCCAAAACAACTTAACAATACTTCTAATATCCTAGCGCTTGATCTAACTCTCAGGTGAGCTCAGCAGGAAACTTACCATTGACACAGATATGAGCATCGGATCAGGCCTCAAGTAATTACTAGCCTGGAGCAGTGATCGCCAGCTATGTGAACTGTGTGATAGTTCCATAACGTGGACAAAAATATTTAAAAGGTACTAGATTAGACCACTAAAAATTTATCTGCCTTTTCATCTAAGGTATGATTCAAACTCAGCAATCCAAATGTTAATAGTTCCATACATTAGCCTTGTGCACCATCTACCTTCTAGCCTGTGCTTTGTTATAGTCACTGGATAACCAAAAAACTTGTTTTAGAATTTATAAAGGATTTTTCCTACCTATTATCCTCCCTGTCAAATAGTCAAGTACTGATGGAGATTACAACCAAGATGAAAAGCAACGCATATTAGTGATTTACAGTATAACCTCAGAGTTAGGAAAACCTCAGGAATGGAAGTTGTTTGTAACTCTGAAATGTTTGTAACTGTAAACAAAACATTATGGTAGTTCTTTAAAAAGTTTACAACTAAACATTGACTTAATACAGCTTTGAAACTTTACTATACAGAAGAAATATGCTGCTTTTAACCGTCTTAATTTAAATGAAACATACACAGAAACAGTTTCCTTACCTTGTCAAATCTTTTTTTTTTTAAACTTTCCCTTTATTTGTTAGTAGTTTATGTTTAGCACAGTACTGTACTCTATTTGTTTGATTTTTGTTTTTGTTTTTTGTTTGTTATTGTTTTTTTGTGTCTTTGCTGGTGCCTGATTGAGTACTTCCAGTTCCAAAGGAGGTGTGTGGTTGACCGATCAGTTCGTAACTCTGGTGTTCGTAACTCTGAAGTTCTACTATAGTTCTAAAGTTACCTGAAGTGTTTTATGTTACTTCTCAGTAATATTTTTAAGCAGTCCATGAAAACTCTGCTTATCTTTAAAAAATACACTGCACATTAACTTTCTTTAAGCACATGGGAAGTTATCTGGTATGGCACCCACAGAAAGAAAGAAAGAAAGAAAGAAAGAAAGGCAGATAAAGTACTAATTTATACTAATAAGTACACAATGAAAGCACAATATTTTTAAAAAATTAAAACTCAAAAACGGGAGGATGCACATTATGTGAATTTGAGGCATTTGGATATGTACTCTATTTACTTACAGTGTCTGAGGAGATACTCAGAGCAGATTCTCTTGAACCCATCCCACATTCATCATCTAGAAATTCTGTGAGTTTATTTATGTCTTGCAAATGTGCTTATAGGTTTAGTAGCACATGGTTTCACTTTGGTATTTGAGCTATTCAGCCATCAGCTTTCAAGAATTCTTGCTACCAAATCGGTGTTCTACACTTATGATGGCAGCAATTTTGCTCTGGATTACATATTTAAATATCCAGGGCTTTTTTAAATGCAAATATTGTCCAATTAAAAATTGGTAATTTCCCCAAGCTCTAGTGCAGATTTTTTGATGTGCTTTAGTTAGGGCCCAATCCTGTAAGAGACTGAATGCTCTCAACTGTCACTCACTTCAAAAGGAGTTTGATGGTGCAGAAACTTTGCAGGATCAGACCCTCAGATTTATGGTTTCAGAAATGCTGAAATGGTCTTTCTGCAATAAAAACGGTCAGTCCCAAGTGGCTGAAAATGCACTGTCCCTCATCCCCACACAGCCCTTCAGACCATTCCATCTTTCTTCTGGTGCTACCTGACAATAATGTCTCAGTCAGGTGCCAGGACAGTTGATTGTTCACCACACTATCTATTAAATAACCACTATGGGCTAGGTCTTGGAGTGCCTACTCAGGCGAAACTCCCATCAAAGTCAGTGGGGTTGTTGTCTGACTGAAGAACGTAGCATCTGGCTCTATGTACATAGTCTTTAGGACTTGGTAGTACATGTTGTGAAGGTAATTTGATATGAAACGCATTTCTGTTTTCATAAAGAGCAGTCTGGGGAGATGTTCTTTGAACCATTGAAAATATTCTCTTGCCACAAAGTTTTACCTTGTCACCCTTCATGTTCAACATGCATACAGGGCCATTTAGAAGGTTTGTGAGGAGCCATGGGATACATCTACGTTTTGAGCTGTAAGAGGTGTAATTTCCAGCTCAGGTAAACATACACATGCTAGCTTTGATTGAGCTAGCACACTAAAAACAGAAGCACAGCTGTGGTGGCAAGAGCAGCAGGATAAGCTAGGTATGCCAAGTACCATACGACCTGAGACCCTAAGTATGTGCTTGGGGTGACTAGCCCCTCCCACCTTAGCTACACGGATATTTTCAGCTTGCTAGCTCAATCACAGCTAGTGTGCATACATCCACATAAGCTCAACATGACACCTGTAGCTTGAAGTGTGGATACAGTGCTTTCACTCTGGGGAAATGTAGACTTCTAAGGAAGTTGGACCTTTTGTTTATTAATTGTTTGGATAGTTGATTACAATTTGGGATGATTTTATAGGCTTCTGATTTTTTTTGTATTTGCTGTATGATATTGCTGTGAAGATGCCTAGTGTAGTTAATAAAATAAATATAAAGGCACATTAAGAATGATTCCTTTGTGTGTGTTTACAATGTATGAGTTGCTCCCAAACTTGTAACAAGCCAGGGCAGCTAAATACAAAGTAACAGAAGTTTGTTTTCCATTTCTATTATGTCTTTAGGTTATTTTTTCCTTTAAAGACTCCTCTGTTTTCCCCCAAGCACCTTGAAGGCTGAATATTTTGCATTTCTGTTCACTTCTTTTTTCCTTATAGAAACCAGGGCCAGCATTAACATTCACACTTTCCTCAATCAAACTTGTAAAGCAGATTTTAAAAATACCACAAAACAAAACTTGAGCCTTGCAAAGGCCTAGGCAGTCCCTGCACACCCTCAGTGTGGCACTCCAGGTGTGCCCTACCTTAATTTCCCCTAATTGGCAACACTGCATTCACTATAACAAACTGGGGCAAGGAAGAGCCAATGCACATGAACAAATAGCACGGCCCCCTTTTTAATAAGGCTTCAGAACAGGAGCTATTAAAACAATTCATAAGGTCCTCACCTCAGGACCTTGGTTCAGAGCTCCCAAGCTTAACATCCATAAAACAAAGTCTCTGAACCTGCTCTGCTAGATCATGAGAGAAGCCACTCTCCCCAGCCTGCATAACTTCTACTCTCTTCTCCCTAACTTGGCTTCCTTGGCCTATTTATATAGCCCAGGCCTTCTTGATTATACCCCAGGCTGCCCCAGCTATAGGCTCCTGTCTGTTCCTTAAAGGGGCAGTATTCTCTTTCACAAACCTACATTCAGATTTTCCTCACTTGCATGGAAGCAACACTCTGGTATATTTTTGCTTCATTTCATTTCATTGCAGTTTGCAAATAAATATTAATGCTCAGGATCTGTGAGTTTTTGGTGTTCCTTAGTGGTAAAGAGTCATCAAAAATACATTCAGCTATATGTGTTAATTTATACTGTATACATTGT